AGTAAATTCAATAGGATTCATTAAACATTAGATTAAAAAACCCCAAAACATTCTGTAGGCTGGCACACTTAGTCATACCCCTGTATGACTAATGATGTTTGAGATTACCAGGAAAGAAAATTGAATTCCACTGCTCTTGGAACTCCTTTCAGTTTCTGCTCCCCCCCTTTTTAATTTTTTTTTTATTGATTAATCGAAATCCAATTTCAGCTGTTTGCTGAGTTTTGTCTTTAGCTTCCTAGTGTTGCAATGTTTCTGTGTCAAATACAGGAGAATATTTAATTTTAAGAACTTTCTGTATAATTTTTAAGAGTGGAAATATTTCCCAAATAAGTGCTTGTTTGCGGAGGGAAGTGAAATTCAAGTTGAAGGAATTTTTGTCTGTGTACTTAATGTTTCCTGACTATTTAGTTTTCTTCTTTACTTGTATGGGGAAGCCTTGCAACATTTTCAAGTCTACATATCAGCAGCAAGTATTAGGGTCTGTCATAGCAGATGTGTGAGGAAAGGATATAGTTTCAACATAAGGATGGAAGGAATTACTTGTGGTCCTTCTTGGAAGGAATTTGGCAGAGCTAAGGAAGTTTGTCAAATAGAAATCATGAGGGATGAAGAACAAAGATATAACCATTGCTGTGTTCTTCCTAGTACTGTTTCCTGTCTTCCTGCAAGAGCTTCATCCTTTCCATGATGTTCCCCTTGAAAATATCTGGTAGAGTCTGGAGAGACACTGTATTACTACTCTGAAATAGAGTGATCTGTGTAATCAATTCTACTTCAGCTGCTGAATTTAAAATAAATTGACCATTCTTTGAATGGAACTCAAATTCATTCCTTTTTTTAAAATTAGAAGGAAACCCAGGAAAAGATACATATGCAGAGTTACATTGCAGTAAACTTTTAAAAGAAAATATTTTGAAGACAAGTGAAGGGAACAAAGTGCTCGAGTTACTAAACTGATGGCATCAATGTTGTCCTTTCATCCAGGTTATCTAGAAATCTCATGAAGGATGAGTGGGGCCTAGAATCCATTCTTTTTACTGTGCTTGATGGAGTCTGAATCTTATCTTTTAATTTCAAAGAAAGTATTCTACCAAAATGTCTTCTGTTCTGTGATTTCCCTGCAGTCTTTCTAACATAAAGTTTCCCTTTAATTAAAATATACCTCTTTTTCTATAGATAGAGTTTGATTTGTGCAGGACAGTCAGCTGCAGTCCCTGCATGAACTGGGATGCTGTACCTGCAACACTGAATATGGCCCTGTTCTGTGTCATCATGTATGATGAATTCTGAACTCTGAATTATAGAGAGGTCCTCAGTAAACTACATGAAATTCTGATTTCTGGAAAAGGAGGGAGGTATGTGGTTGGTTGAATGTCCTGAGTAATTTTCTGAACAACTAAGTGAATTACCAATGTTTTGATTTATTTCTTCAATTAATATTTAGAAATTCTGAGCTTGAGAAAGTAGACTTGCAGTAAATTTAAAGAACCTTGAAGGGGTAAAGCTGTGCATTTTTGACAAATAAGTTACTACCCCAGAAAAGGGTAAATTCAGTTTCGCCAAATTTCTTTAAACCTACAGAACCTAAAGATCTTTAAACCTACAGAACTCTTCTGGCACTGAAACATAGCACAGTGTTTTGGACTATTTCATATTTGAATGAATTGGACAGGTCAGAGCATGTATTCTACCTTGCTATGGAACGAGCAATCAAGTGGTTGTATCTAGAATTTACATCATGTTATACACTTAGCCTGCCTAGACAGTAGGAGAGATTTTAGCCTTAACAATCCATCTCTTTTCCCTGTATTCATCCTAAATTGATGGCGTTTATGTTGATCGTTTAAAAGCAGAATAGATCACATCCCTAGAAAGGTGTTGAAGTAATACCTCCTCAGGGAAAAAAAAAGATACACTGGCAAAACTGTTGCAAAAGGTGTTTAAAGGCTGTAAAATCACTTGCATGTACACTTGTCACCTACAGGTAATGGGTCATCCCCTGGTCCACTCCCAGCCCTGTGGAAGCTCTAGGGGGAGCAGAAAACGCAGCGCTTTGGAAGATGCTGATACAGAGTGGAAAATGAAAAATAGAGTGGAAGTTTGTTTTCTCTCAGTGTGATGTTACTCCTGCTCATCTCGAGTACCCATGAGGAACCAGGGTTCTCAAAAACATGTAGAGTAGTAGAAAATAGTGGGAAGAGAGATTATAAATAACCTGCCTTTGGTCTCTTTTGAGTTGCTACTGTTTTCAAGCACTAATTCTGGTGATCCTTTCTTCTCTTTCCCCATCTCTGAACTTGTTTAAAATGGAGCTCAATGTTCAAATGAGAAGAGAAGCAGTTGAGAGCACTTCATTTTTCATCTACCTTTCCTGCTTCTCGGACTTACTTCTCCGAAATGCTGGGAAATGGAACAGGGCACTCGTCGGGCAAAAAGGCACCGATGAGAATGGGGATAACTTGGATGCTCTTTTCTGCTCTTCCACTGGCATGCTGCATGGTTTTGTGGAAAATCAGTTCATTGTCACCATTTTCCCCTTATGTAAAACAGTAGGGAATATATTTTACAGGAATGTTTTCAAATTTTCAGAATTGCTTTCAAATTTTGTGATGAAAAGTGCTACATAAGAACTAGACAGTGTATCATTGAATGAATACTACTGAATCTGTAATATTTTTTCTTCCTCTATACCATTTTGGGATACAGAGGAAAATTGCCTAGTTCCCTCATTTCTCATTTCTTTCCCCAGAGCTCAGGACCCCAGGCCACAGATGTTGAGCTGCAGATGCTTTTCATAGATCAGATTAAGGATTGGTGAGGTGACAGAGCCTCATGCAAGCATCCCACTGTGCTCTTGAAACTAGAATTTCATTCCTGGTAGTAAACTGTATGGCCTTACATTTACCTTAAAAAATATTCTTTTATATATATATATTTGGAAAGAAGAGAGTTAATATTAGTATTAAGTTCTCACTAACGTACAGTGTTCAGTGTATCACTAAAGGCCTAATGATATTTAATATAAGGATTCTTCTAAATAGCTGATGTGTAATTCTCCTAAGATGTTTTATAAACTCGTAAGAGGAGGAGATACAGTTGTTCACAAATGTTTCACCAAGCTTGTTTTAAGACATTTAAAATTGCCTTTGAGAGTAGAGTTGCACGAAAAAGAGGGAGGAGAGATGGAAAAAAGAAACCCCAAAACAGGGTTCTGCTCAGTCTAGAGTTTCAGGCAAGAGAGGAAAAGGTCTAGTTATCCAGAGCCAGCTGCATTGTTAAAAGTTCATACTATCACTTTGACATTTAGAGTAGGACTCAGTGTCTTTGTAAATTCCTCTTCGTATTACCAGTGTAGGTCTCTGAGCTCAGACCATTTCACAAACCATAACATTTTTTAGTGAGTGATTGATCTGTATTATGTGTCCTAGCCATCAGAAGAATCTTGGGATGTTGCTTGTATAAACTGTAATACAATCTGATCCTGGGCATTTAGTTACAGACTTTCATAGACCTATTGGCGATACTCAGTCCTCCTGGATTTGGGAATAAGGCTTATCTGATACCTTAAAAAAAAAGGGGGGGGTGTTGCTTAAAAAAAAAAAAAGGCCCTCATTTTCTCTGTTCCCCACTTAAATAACTCAACACATCTGGTAACACTGTAGGATCATTGTCCTTTCAGTTCCTTAGCAGCTCATATTGCTACAATATTTCTTCGGTATCTAATTTCCTAAAGGGCAATGTGATTTTTTTTTTCCCAGGCTGTTTTTGTAGGTCTTGCAAATTAACCCATATGCATTGCAAGAAAAAACATGACTTTTAATCAGCACCATTTCTAAAGTTAGCACTTGCTGTGTGTATATGAATATGTATATGAACCAGTGTTTAAAAAAAAAAAAAACACAACCTTTTTGCTAGTGCTCAAAACTAGCATACAAATGTGTTTTTATTATCAAATAAAGCATGCCTAAATGTTAGAATATCTTTCTGTTAGGGGATTTATCATTTGACTTCTTGTCTTCAGTTACGGGAATGATAAAAACTGAAACTAAATCTTTTAATTCAATAAGAGCTATGTTGAATTTTAGGAAGCAAAAAGAGGAATCAGATATAGACTCATATGCATAGGAAATTAAACATTCAAGAAATTAAAACTTTGTGAGCAACTGAAGAGGTAGCCTTAAGGTGTGCTTATTTGAAATGCCTGCATTTAATTTTACAATAAATCTGAGTATTTTGTTCCAATTAAGCCAGTTCATGTGCACAACTTTAAATTGTACAGTAGTTCCACAGTCTCAGGGAGACCGTGGACTGCTTGTTTTACATTCTGGATCAAGTTCAGATTTTTAGGCTTTGCTTGAATAAAATAAAAAGTCTGAACCCTGAAGATAATACAGATTGATAAATCTGATTTAAACATTCCTATGTTGCAGACTTTCAGTGTATGTGGTACAGCTGAGCCTCAGGCCATGCACTAAATACATCCACAGTGCATTCCCAGGGCACACGAATACCAAATGATCACATTTGAAAGGTTACCTTTCTATGGATTCTGACTTTTCTGTGTTAGCCACGAAGATTAGAATTTTAACAGCTCCCAGGGAGAGGTATTGTGAAGTATTTACTTGGCAGGAAAAAAACCAAAACAAAGCAAAGCCCAGATGAGGTACTGTCTCATATTCATGAACTGGGATTTATTAGTTCTGTGAACGTCCTTTTGAGAATACACTCCATAGTTCACACTTTAGGAAAAACAAGTCTTGCTTTTCGTTTATATTAACTTAAAACTTTGATAGAAGAGTTACTGTTGTAGAGGTTTTAGCAGAGGCACAGCATCATGCTTGTGCAGAACAAATCTTAGTAAATCCTGCAGTCTTTCACAACTAGCTTTCTGCAAGGAATGTTATTGTGGTTTGTCTCTCTGGAAATCTGCCAGTAGCTTTGTTAGTGAACTTGGTGATAATTAAAGATGTAAGGTTTTTTCTGCTTTTCTTTTACAGGTTGTGGAACTCATTTCAAGTGCTATTGGTGACTTAGTTCAAGGTATATATTATGAAAACTCAAAATCATCTGAGGTAAGAATTTCAGTAGATTTATATACCCAAGGCATTTCGCGATATTAATGTGTGACTACAATAAACGTGATTACTTTCTCATCTGTTAAAAAGGAGGGAGAAGGAGGAAGAGAAGTAGTTGTAGTCCTAGTGATTGTCATCGTTATGACACCTGTAAGCTCTGATGGAATTTTCCAGAAATGCCCAAGGAGGGACTATTTTATTTCTGTGAGTGCTTAATAAGATAATGTTGTGTCATTACCAGACACTTCTTACTACAGTCTTTCCAAACACTTCCAGAGGTTTCTAGTCAAGGTTCTGTTAGAGGCCCTTATTACAATGTTGTCAACATCATTAATATTTTCATGTCAAACCTGTCATTTCTAAGCCCAAAGATGTTTACAAAATGCTTCATCCTGAACTTACATCATGTCCTTTCTTCCGAGTTTGGTCCTAAAGTGTTAGGAGTGTAGCAGTATATTCTTCTTCACCTGAAGTCACCATGCATGTATTGTCTTTACTGGAATATTCAAAGAAACTTCTAGAGAGCATTCGTGAAGTAGGCTTGCTTGGGCAGAGTTTTGGCAAAAAAAAGAGTTCTTCCTTTGATTTACTATGACTGTGTCTTAACACATGCAATAAAGTCAACTATTTGAAGTTGCCATGACTCTACAGGTTTTATGGTAGCAACTTTTCAGTCACTGATTAGCACTGTGTATATGTGAATATCAATCTTGAAATCCGCTGAGGTAGATAGATTCACTTGTAGTGGTGTTGTCTCATGCTTCTGGTTTGCCTTGGAGACCTGCATCTTACAGTTCAGTAGGTGTTGTGTACTTAAATTGCAGCTCTGGTTTGCTATCGCTTAGTTGTATTATGTAGCAAAATTAATACCTTAATAGTGGAAACCCTGATCTCGTGGGTTACTGCTACAGTAGATGTCTGCCCTGATGCCCCTGCCCCAACCAAACCACTGTGGGCAAGTGGAGAGTGGCAGTGCCTATCAGCAGCTGGGCTCCAGAGGGTGCTCCCTTGGTCAGTGTCTGTCTCTGCTGCTCTGCAGCAGCAAAGACATGTCACTAAAACTAACCTTATTCAAATGTGTCCCTCTTATTTTGATTGAAACAATCACAGAGCTGAGGGAGAGCCTCCAGCAGGACAGCAGTAATGGCACACTCAGGAGCTGCCTGGGGCTCACGACTCACTGGGTTCTGCACAGAGGATGGCATGTGCCCAGCATCCTCTGGCACCTCTCAGGAGGGGACCCTAGATGGAAGCATGGCAGGAGTGCAGTGTTAGGAACTTGGCAGTGCTTCTGCATCTGCTGTGTTTTACCTGAGGATAAACCAACTTCAGCCTTCATTGTTGCTCCCAAGGAGTGTGCTAAAGGTTATATGTTAAAATGGACAACATCTTTAAGATTTTTGGAAAGAATGTTTACTATTTTCCATACTCAAGCAGGTTTCTAAATACAAGTAGGTCACAGGTATATTTAAAAAACACCAACCTACTCTATTTTGTGTAGAAATAAATCTCTATAGGTTGATCTCAGCAATGAAACTGCATTTTATTTTAACCATGGCCCCTGTATAAATGAGAAATGTTGTGGACTCTTGGGTTCCTGTGATTGCAGAAGATATTAATTTTCTCTTTCTTAGTTATTCTTTTTCTGTTTATTTTCTGCTGCCTTACTGAAGCACCCCTCATGTGTGGATTGCAAGGGCAAGTGTGAGAGAAACTAAGTGCAGCTGCATGACGTTTACCTTGCCCTGGCCCAATTACAAATAGCCAAGATTTATTTTGTTTCAGTGACTATTTCTAAGGAGAGTTGAAAGTACACTGTACCTTTCCTAAGGGGGGAATCCAGTTAACTCAAAATGCAATTAGTGTGGTGCCATAACAGAGAAATTTACATGACAGTGTCTGAAGTTTAGTCTTTATAACTGATAGTGCTTGGCTTCCAATTAGACCTACAACAAAGTGTGGGATCTGTTTTAATTTTTTTTTACCTTGTTGGCTGAGAAATTTAGTTCCATGTTGTGTGATGGACCTATCCCTATTGCTTTCTTTGCATTTTTCTGCTGAGGCTGTGTCCTGTTCATGTTATGAACATCTCTTTAGCAAAGACTGCCAAATGGACTAGATCAGTTGTTTGCCTTATTTGTATCCCTTGTGCGTCTTCCCTCCTTCTCTAATTGCAATTTGATTGAATCAAAAATGTGAACTACATTTCCTAGAGGTAAGTCAAATGCTTTAATCTGCTCCACAACTAAATCTCAAATGTCAAACTTTTTTTCTTTTTAGGAGTAGGGCATAGGGATGTTGGTAAAGGAATTTTCATTGCTGAGAATGTCTTAAATTTGGAAAAGCAGAAAGATATCTTCTCACCTTTTCCCCCTCCCTCCATTTTTAGGCAGGAAAACTGTACTTCATATGTTAAATGTCTTTAATGCAGTTGTCATAAAGCTCTTCAGTACCATAAAATACACTAATTTAGCACCAAGGTGTTTTGAGTTTTGCTGAATGTCTACCTAGATGGTATACAAAAATACTCTGCAAAATTAACCTTTCTCCTCTGACATCCTAAGCTTGTGTTTACCCAAAAAGAAGTTTGTCTTCTTGGATGACCCACTAGGAAAGCTGAAAGAATGATTTGACCTAGCAAGACTGACCTTATTTACCCCTGAAGATATATAATGAGTATAATTATTTGACAGTGCTCATTACCACTTTTTTTTTCCTCTGCACAACCACGTGCAATCCTACAGCCGTCCCATTTTAGTATATTCTGTTTGATTGTTCTTCATCTTGTCTGCATAGTAAGTCATTAGATCTGTGTTAAACTGGGGGAAAAAAGTGCTAATATTTAACTTTTCATCTTTATTTAAAATGGCAGTCCAAACTACAAGGTGTAGGCTTTGACACAGCCTCGAAGTTAAGGTTGTCACTCATGTTCAAAGTAATAAATAAACATCTGCTGTAATTTAAGATGTTGCATTATCAATATTAAGGTAATATTTTGGACTGTGAGTTGGAGCAGAAAGGGGTGATATGATAAACCTTTACAGCTCTGTGCTTTAAATGTGCTCTTAGACCAAAATTCTGCAACTAAAGAACATTCTTCCCAGTCCCATCTGCCTTTCCTGAATCTAGGTCTAATTTGGGAGTAAAAATTTGTGCCTTAGTGAATGAAAAGGTCAAAGTTGTCTAATCTGGCCTTCAGTCTTGATTGTGGTATCTATTTTTAGCAGAAAAAAAAAAAACCATTACTCTGAGTCTCTGTTTCCAACTTTTAGGAGACTGAAGGCTTCTAAAATGTTTGCTAACTCAGAGAATACTGTCGTGCTTTTAAAAATATTCTGTTTTAATATTCCAGATCATTTAACAAATATTAATGAAGGTTGCTTTAATATCCTTGTCAGTCCACTGAACAAGGACAAGATATACAGGGAAGTTCAAGGTCAAACTGCAGAATCAAGAGTGGGACTTGAGTGTTGGCTCTTGTGCTTTACCTGCCAGACCATTCTTGCGATCTTAAAACTTAGGGGCTCTTATGAGAAATCACTTGGTTGGTTTTTGGTTTCTTTTTTTTTCTCATATCCAGAGTATCTAGCTGATGCTAAATGTGCATTGCCAGAACTCTTGTTAGTGTCAGAATGGGATATTATGTAAGACAAAACCATTTCCATCATGTTCCACTGATGACCAGAATAGCTGTTTGGTGTTTTTGATGCAATAGTGTGAAAATTGTGCACAACTAATATGTAAAACAAGTTTAAAAAGAAATACATTAGTGGGAAGTACTCATTTTACCAAATAGTGAATTACCAGGTATTTCTAATAAATGTGTTTTCTGGGGAAGGACAGGCTACATGTAGCAAGTGGTATCAGTTCTTTGATGTTTGGTCACCAGCCCTGCTTTGAGAAGTAATGTTTTGGAATACTGCACGTGTCCATCAACTGGACTGCTATGAGTGTGTTAAAATTAAGGATTTGTTTATAATTTTACCAAAGGAAGTAGACCAAATGCATTTTGAGACATGTAAATCACCTTTTAGCAGTGCAGCAGTCAGAGTTTTCACTTTTTTTAAACAAATGTTTCTGTTGCAAGACAAAAGGGAAGGATAAAATATGGAATTTGAGTAAAGAGCATCTGTGAAAAGAACGGGTAAATGTGTCAGAGGGGAAAAAAGCATAGCTAGAAAGAAGGCCAATGCTGTTTGTTTGTTCTTTTAAATACTGAGCTTTTCCAGAGAGATTTAAAATAACAGATGTGAAGAGATTTAAATTTATTATAAGTTTTCGAAATTTTTTTAAGTCATGTGGGGTTTTTTTAGTGTCACGATAGAAGTAGTTGGTGGCATGCTTTGTTAACTTATTTACAGACAGCCTTGTTCCTCCAAAAGCAGTGAAGACATGTATTAATAGACCAATAAAACATGCCCTGTCATGTTCAGCAAGCACGAATACATCTGTTGAAAGCTTATGTGAACCATGTGCAAGATGTTTTGCAGGGTCTTGCTACTGGTAGAATGATTCATAGTTGCATTGGATTTTATTTATGTAAAATAGAAGTTCTTGAACTACCTAATTTAAAACTTGAATATGCAATTTAAAATTATTTCCGTGTGTTTCTGCAGATTATTTGCCCATTGAGAACTAAACTAAAGTTTGATATAAGTGATTCAGACATTTCAATCATTTTGTGCAACAGCAGATGGCTAAGAAAGAGCTGCCATGGTATGGAAATAAATTAAGTTTTCCCTTATACACTGTAGCTGAAGTTTTACATCAAAGTGTCTCTGACTTGTACTTCTTCCTGGTTTTACAAACGGGTTTTTGCACTTTGAAGACAGGTTTTTCATGCATATTTCCTTAATATGTTTTCAGCTGAACCACATATGAGCATCTTCTTTGGTGTGATAAATCAGACTGAGTTAAGTGCTGCTTTTGTATTGGGGATCTTTTTTGCCATTGCTAAAAACTGCCCTTCCTGATGGTTATATTCGCATATTTTGTCTTGCAGTTTCATTTTCTGAAAGTTTTTTTGTTTCCTGAGAGGATTGTTTCAAACACAGTTTAAAATTATGGAAGTAGCTTAATTTAAAAAAAAAAATCTCAACTAGACAATTTCTAACAAAACAGTAACCGACCTTGCTGATAGTAAAATAGGAGCACCTTCAGCTGTTCTTAATTTCCCATAGGAAACGATGATTGACAGAGTTGGATTTGTATATTTTCCCTGTATTCCCATGCTGACATTATGCAAACTGTATCTGGAGTTGACTGTTTTCTTCTGGTGATGGTGAGGGGTTCGGCTCCCTTCTTCCAGTTTCTGCCACCCAGACAGCATCAGGAATGGTTGTGATCTGGACCAATTTTGGGTGACAGAACTTGTGAATGAGATCCCAGGCACTAGTTAATCAATTGTCTGAGCACTGTCAACTACAGCTGGAATTAATTTGAGCTAGAAAAGTCTTTTATATGAAGGACTAAGGAGTCTTCTGAGCATGTTAATGTCCACTTTTATACCCACTGCTGACAAAACAAAGCTTAAAAAGCAGTGAAAATTTCTCTAAAAGTACTAAGCACTGTCATGATGTCAGATTTTACAACTTTTGCAATCTAGAACTAGTTTTGGTTTTCCCTTGATGTTTTTACAATAGTGTTTAGATCTTGCCCTACATACCTTTGTATGAATGTAGTGTGGTTGGTGGACACTCTGTGAACAATATGAGTTAAGCTTGGGAAAAAATGACATTGCTGAAAAACTTTACTGAAGAAAGGTTGTGTCTGCCTTCTTAAGCAACAGAAGATTTAGGAGTGTGTGGTCATAAGAGGTTCTGTGATTAAAATTGGCTATATTCTGTCATACAAGTTCATGTGCTAAGGCACATCCATATGGACATAATGCCTTTTTACAACTTGCTTGTTTCTGTAACCCAGGGATTTACAGTAGTTATGTCTTTTAAGATTTCAATATTGTATCTTCAAATATGTGTCCAGTTCTTGCCTTTTTTTTTTTCTTCAAGTTAGATGCTCATTTTAGATACTTGAAGCTTCTACATGATGTTCATCTAGTGGACAGTAACTTTTTGTGCCATCATTTTCAATCTGGTTATGAAATTCAAACTTGTTTAAGAATATGATTTTATAACAAATCATAGAATTAATTTCCTTGTATATGTTGAGTTGCAATAATTGTTTAAGCTTCTTCAGTTCCCGTAGTTGATATTTGATAATGTCTGCATTTCTCTTGCTGCTCAAAGGCTCCAGCAAGCAAATATTTTCAAGTTAGGGGTCTTCTGAAAGATTTTTTTTTTTTAACTTCAAAATTGTTTCAGGGTACTTTTCTAGAGTATTTTTGTCTTATTTGGATTCAGAACAAATGATTATAAAAATCACTGCCAATTTTCAATATCATCCAGCGAATTTTAGTAAATACTGTTTTTTCACTGAGCAGATTGGTTGTTAAGGAAAAGATTGTGTTTCGTCTTCCAAGAGCTCCTGATTTTAAATTTCAAATAAATTGATCTATATCTGAGTGGAAAAAAAGAGACTTGATATATGCGGAACTACTTGAATTAAATGCTCATTTTGACATTTTGCCAGTCATGGGAATTTGCAGATGCTCTGGGATGAGTTAAGATATTAAAACAAAAATACTGAAACACGAGGAAAGTTTAGGCTTGACTTTGTAAGTTGTCATATGCATAATAGCAAACATGTGGTTTCTCTGTTCTTCACTTTCCTTGTATAACTTAATAGTATGTCTGAAAGCAAAGACATTTTGATATAGCTCTGTGTTACTTGGCATTGCAGAATTCTCCTACTTCTTCCATTAGTCTCAAATTATCCTCTGCCTTGTAACACAGCACTTCTGGGTGATATCCATAAGGGAGGAAAATTAGAGCCGAACGGATGGATTCTATTTCATTTGTTACTGATTTCATGACAGATAATACCTTGCTAGAAAACTATAGGGTCACACAGAATTACTACTTACTCATTTCTAAGTAATTTAATTGACATCACTTTGAGGGAAAAAGCTTGTTATATAAAAGGGGTTTTTTATTACTCTTTTAAAGAATACATACATACATACATACATACTCTTTTAAAGAATATCTTTTGGCTTAATGTATGCTATAGATTTAGCTGAACTGAAAAATTACAAAATTTATATGCTTGAAATTTTTTTTTCTGTTGCTTCTCATTGCTGATTTTATGTTTTTCTAATAAAACAACTGTGGTCTTTTCAGGTTTGGGTCTTTTATTTTTTCCTCTCTTTAGAGAGTACCTAAAAGTGTGACAGTATCATGTATGTGAGACAGATGAAAATCATGTCTATCTTTGAAGACCCATTAGTGAAATAGTGCCATATTAACGCCTTATAAGTCTAAGAAATGGTAGTTGAATTTGGGTTTGGGGAGAAAGTATTTTATTTGCATTAATTAAAAAATGCTTTGTGAAAAGTAATCCAAATTAATATTTTGGATATAAAAGGTTTTGAGAATGGTTGAGCATTTCTGACCTTACAGTCAAGGTGATAAAGTTCAATAGAGGTATCATTGAGATCTCTGCCAGCCCCTGAGAAAGTTAATACCTGACACTTCTAAATCACAACTTTAATACATTCAGTCATTCCCCATCCTTAATATGGGAGTAGAAGAGGTACAAGTCATCCATTGCAGCCCTTCACTTTTTCAATGCAGTCTATAAGGATATTTAGTACCTTTTGTAGTGTGTTTTTTTCTTGACCACAAAGGAGAAATTGTAGGGACTTCTCAAGTTTGTTTGGGATTATTGGTTCTTGGTAACTGGTAAGGGGCTGAAGTGTAGGTGTACTCTGGGGGGTTTTACTTTTGGGATTTGTTTTGTTATTGTTGTTTTGGAGTTTTGTTTGCATTTTTTTTAACTCCCCAGTCCCTCATGAGGGATGTAGTTGGCTGTTAATGTTCAGTTTAATGATACAGTCATTAAGAAAAGATTTATACTGAATCTGTTGACAACTCCACATATTTTGCATTGTTCTTTTTGAGCAGAAAATGAAAAAGGTTTTTGTTTGAAGCTGCCAGTATATTTATTCTGATACTTTTCTCTAATCATCCCTAAAACCCACCTATCTTTATTTGGCATCAGAGTTTTGTTTGTTTTGTTACTTACCACATTACTCACCTGTGCCACACTATTCATGTCTGTGAGCTGACACATCTGCAGTTTTGGTGTTTTCATGTTAGCCTTTGTTTCATTTTCAGGAGAACTGTCTTACAGATGATATTGGCATATCTCGGTGGAAGGAGCAGGTTTTCCTGTCACATAGTGCCTTGCTGGCAAAGAGCTGCCAGGCTGCAATGGAGCTAGCAAAGCACAGCACTGAGATTCAGGACATGGCATTTCAGTATGGAAAGCATATGTCTATGAGTCATAAGGTATGCTTTTTCCTTAAGTTCTGGGATCTTAAATACAGCAAGGCTTGTAAGATGTGTTGATCTTGAGCTCTTTTATATACTGCCACTATGCTGTAGACTTTTGCCAGCAGGTCATTGTTGAAAGGTTTTACTGCTGCCTGGTGTGAAGATGTTTGTGGAAACTGCTGGTATGAACAGTGCTTGTGAACTAGCAAAATCACACTCCTGGCAAAGTAACTCATTACATTCAAGCTTCTGTTAATGTCCCTCTAGCACATCTTTCTGCAGCAGCTTAAAACTTTACCTTACCTGCTCCTACATTCTTCCTAAAGCCACAATCCCAGTAGCAAAAGTTGCAGAAGGAAGCATGTCATAGAATACCTTGAGTTGGAAGGGTCATTGAGTCCAGCTCCTGGCCCTGCACAGAACAACCTCAAGAATACTACCATGTGCCTGAGAGCATTGTCCAAACACATCTTGAACTCTGTCAGGCTTGGTGCCATGACCACTTCCCTGAGGATCCCGCTCCAGTACCCAACCACCCTGTGGGTGAAGAACCATTCCATAAAATCCAATTTAAACCTCCCCTGAGGTTTAACCTCATTCCGTAAAATTCAATTTAAACCTCCCCTTCAGGACATTCCCTTGGGTCCTGTCACTGATTGCCAGAGAGAAGAGATCAGTGCCTGCACCTCCACTTCCCCTCATGAGGAAGTTGTAGACTGCAATGCCGTCTCTCCTCAGTCTCCTCTTCTTTAGGCTGAACAGACCAAGTGACCTCAGCCACTCCTCACACGGCTTCCCCTCAAGGCCTTTCACTGTCTTCATTGCCCAAAACTGCACACACTGTTCAAGGTGAGGCCACACCAGTGCAGAGCAGAGTGGGACAATCACCTCCTTTGACCAGCTCGTGATGCTTTGCCTGATGCCCCCCTAGACACAGTTGGCCCTCCTGGCTGCCAGGGTGCTGCTGACTCATATTCAACTTGCCGTCGAACACCCAGGTCCCTTTCCACAGTGCTGATCTCCAGCCTCTTGTTTCCCAGTCTGTACATGATGTGTTGGATCTTGACTGCCACCATGCAGAGATTTGTACTGTGAGGCTCAACTGCCTGCAGCAGCACGTGGGCTGAGGCACGAGCTGCAGTGGCAGAAGGACCTGCTTGCATTCCCTTCTAAATAACCTGCTGTGGAGGTACCTTCCAGAGGGGGCAGCTTGAGAATAAGGAGGGAGGCCACCAGATCTGGACAGGAGCAGCCCCCACCTTTACAGTAGTAGGATTTCCCACAGAAGGTTTCTGACCTCCACTAGAAGACTTTCAGTCTGCAGCTACTGCTAGTCCAAAGGAAAACACACAGTGGGGAACTCAGATCCTTGGCACTCTTGTTTTGCCCTAAAGATCTGTTCCTGTTGTATTGCACCACTTGCAAGATTAACCGTAGCTTGAGACAGGCAGACAGGGCTCTCATGTACTTCAGCTGAGTTGATTTAGATAGTTTCTAGTTCCTACAGGAGAAGGAAGTGGTTTTATAAAGCACAGTTTTACTGCCACAAAAATACCACTGTATGCTATTACTAGGTACAATTCTACTAGAAAAATTGCTTGTAGTGCAGCTATAGCCTTAATGTTTTGTGAATGCTTTAGTATTAATTATTCACTATTGACACATAGTTGTGTATAAAGGATTGCATAATTTTCATAGAAAGCTCCTAGCTATGTAGCATTTCCTTTGACAGAAGGAAGGTCATACTGCATCGGCTTCCTCAGGTACTCTAAAGTAGAATGTATTACCCTGCACAGATTAAAAACTGATCTTCTTCCCACCAAAGACTGGATCATTTATATTTTTAATGCTTCCTGACACTCCACAGCTTCCTACATGGCTATGTCCTATGGCTTGCCCAGCTCTGTAAGCTGTCCTTTACCCATGTCTTTGCAGACTCTATACATGCTTCTCTTTACCACAGCTTTCCACCACTGCAATGGTTTCACAACATCTTTCTGTCCCTCCCCCAAACTTGAAAAAGTGCAACCAAAGTACAAGTGTCAAAGCAGAAAGTGGTGAGTAGGTGTGGAATCAGGATATGGACCTCAGTTTGGTGCGTGGGTGGATATGTAGACTGTTCCTGGGAACTGAAGAAATGTGTTCTTCTCTTTCAGCTACATTCAGACCTTCAGCCATTTGTTAAAGAAAGTTCGAGTGACACAATGGCCTTCAGTTTGAATTCTGCTCCTGCAATCCTTCATCAGGAATTCCTTGGAAGGGAGGCATGGATTAAGCAGATTAGAGAGGTAAATTAAAGCATTGTTTAGAATTTCCTGGTTTTGCCGTTTATCTCTTGCTATCCGTACTTTTAATCTTCAAAGAAACTTAGAAATTAACAACAAGTTTACCTATGCTCTCCAATGCTTACTATCTCTCTCTTCCATGCTTTCAAGAGGTGGGGGAAATCTAGGGACCTGACAGTCAAGCTCTGTCAAACTTGTGTGTGTCAGTGTAACAAACAGATTCATTTATGTGGAGCTTATATCTGGTCCTCTGCAATACTTGTGCAGTATTAAATCTTAGTTTAAAGCTACTTTCACTGGCAGCTTAAAGCAAAGAACTTCAACAATCACAGTGCTTGAAAGGTAGACACATTTCCTTCTGCCAGCTTGACTCTGGGAGCAGTAATTTTGGATGAAGGGAGAAAGATTTTGGGGACTTGGCTTTTAGACTACTACAAAATATTTGTGAGATCTGATATCCTTATTCTTTGTTCTCTTATTCAGCTATTTTTTTCCTCTAACCCTTAGATGAGGAAGGCAATAAGATAGCTATGTGGTAGCTGTCTTGTACCACAGCAGGAATCAGGTCCATGAATAGCTTCTTGGGTGCTTCTGAAATACAAATAGGTAACTGTAGAAAGCAGCAAGAAGGGAAAGGAGGGGGAAGCGCTGAAATGGCCAAAATTAAACACTCGTCAGTTGGACATGTTTTGTCTGTCTAAACAACAATCATGACTGCCATTTGGAAATTCCTGCTTGTAGTTACACAGATTTTTTTGTTAAAAAGGCTACTGCCTTCAATAAGAAGTTGGCTCTGTGCAAGCATATTCATTCAAGATGTGTTGGTTGAATGGCTCCTTTCCTTGCTGGTTTAAAACAAGAGTCTTGGGTACAGGGGATGGAGTCCAAGCCTTTGCCTCATTCTGCATTCATGATGTCCAGGTTGCAGCCTACCTCCACATAATGAAAGCAAGGGGCATAGTCTCTTCAGCAGTAAAATCTGGGAAATATATGCAGAATCTACAGCTGTACAGTGGTGTGGAGTTGGGGAATCTTAAGGTGAAGCAAACCTATTGTCATTTTGAAGTTAGGGGCTGGTAGTTCACAATGCATGACAAAGAATTTTGGAATCTTACAGTCACAACACAAGGCCCATATGTGAGTTGAATGTAAATGGATTTGGATTATTGCAGTTGGAGAATAATGGTATTTCCACAGCACGGTGTATAAAAGCTTTGAAACAATTTCCCATCTGCAGAATCTAGAGGAGATTGCAGGACTCCAGGAGTGCTGTCTGTCTGCTTACTAAATTTTCATACCAAAAATGGGCATTATAGAAACAACAAAGCAGTTCTTTGTGAAGGAAGCCAGGGTGCAAAGTGACATGTACTATGCAGAAGTATTTGCTGTCTACTGCTACTTCATACATTTATACATATACGTATGTATACTTTATACATGGTATTTACTATACTGAAAGTGTTCAGACCTTCATGATGCAGTCATCATCACTTTGTATAAGAAGAAAGGAGTTAAATCAGACTGTTCAAATTACCATGGTATTACTCTGCTCTCCATTGCTGGCAAAATCCTGGCAAGAATACTCTTGAACAGACTAATACCCGCTATAGCAGAAGGAATTCTACCTGAAAACCAATGTGGTTTCAGAGCCAACAGGAGTACCACAGACGTGGTATTTGTTCTCAGACAACTGCAAGAGGAGTGTAGGGAACAGAATAAAGATCTCTATGTAACCTTTGTTGATCTCACCAAGGCTTTCGATACTGTGAGCAGAAAAGGTCTATGGCAGATTTTGGAATGTTTAAGATGCCCCCCCAAGTTCCTTAAAATGATCATCTCACTCCATGAGGATCAGCACGGCCAAGTCAGACATGGCAATGCACTTTCTGAGCCCTTTCTAATAACCAGTGATGTGAAACAAGGCTGCGTTCTTGCACCAACTCTATTCACAATCTTTTTCAGCATGATGCTCCAAAGGGCCACAGCAGACCTCAATGATCAGGATGGTATCTACATTTGATACCGTACTGATAGAAGCTTTTTCAACCTAAGGTGACTGAAGGCCCACACTAAGACCCTAAATCATCTTGTCCGGGAGCTGCTTTATGCTGATGACATCGCCCTTGTGGCCCACACAGAAGCAGCTCTGCAGAGTTTAATATCCTGCTTTGCAGACGCTGCTGAGCTCTTTGGGCTGGAAGTCAGCTTAAAGAAGACAGAAGTTCTCTATCAACCTGCACCTCAGGAAGTCCCCCATCATCCCCACATCACCATTGGCCAATCAGAGCTCAAATCAGTCCAGCAGTTTAATTACCTAGGCAGCCTCATCTCCTCGGGTGGTAAGATTGACGGAGAAATAGACAACAGGTTAGCGAAGGCATTTAGTGCTTTTGGAAAACTCCATAAAAGAGTATGGCGTAATAAACACTTGAAGAAAAGTACCAAGATCAGTGTTTACAGAGCCATAGTGCTGTCTACTCTTTTATATGGTTCAAAATCGTGGGTCATCTACCGCCACCACCTGCGTCTCTTAGAACGCTTCCATCAGCACTGTCTCCGCACAGTCCCAAACACCCACTGGTCAGATTATGTACTAATACATCTGTTCTAGAACAAGCAGCAATCACAAGCATTGAGACCATGTTGCTGAGAACACAGCTACGTTGGGCAGGACACGTCTCAAGGATGAAGGACCACTGCCTCCCTGAGATCTTGCTTTATGGTGAACTTGCCACCGGCTGCCACAAGAGAGGAGCCCTGAAGAGAAGATACAAGGACTCCCTGAAACAACATCTCGACCTTGGCCATATTGATCAACATAACTGGTCTACTCTGGCCTCCAGTCGGGAGGTCTGGAGACACACCATCTATAACGCAGCTGCTTCCTTTGAAAAAGCACGCAGGATCACTCTTGAGGAGAAAAGACAACGCAGAAAGAATCGTGCCTTGCAGAATACACCATCTAAGGAGTCTTTCTGCTGTGCCTTTTGCAATCAGACGTGTCTATCTTGTATTGGCCTTATTAGCCACCAGTGTGCTTGTAACAAATGTGGATAGAGCCTTTCCCAAATCTTTGTTCCCAAAGCCTAGCCATGATGATGATGATACCATACTACTCAACTAACTACTCACTGCAACATAGAATATCTCGCTCAGGAGCCTTTCTTCACTTGTGTTGGTTTATAAAGGAAAATCATCTTTCATTAACTACAAGCTCTTTGAGATATCATCCACAGTCACTTTCACTGTGTGACATTCAGTGTTGGCCAAGCACTCAAACCAGAGACTTCATCATACTGGCAATGCTCATAAGCCACCCTCTTGTGCAATGTCATTTGTATGGCTTAAATAGCTAAACCACATGCAGTCCACTCAGTCCATGTCAGAAGCTTAACCAGTTGAGCAAGTCTGATGTAAAAGGTAAAAAAGATCTGTGTGTCTGAGATGAGAGTCAGAAAAAGTCAGAGTCAAACTGCTGTGAGGGTAAAAAACAAAAAAAAAGCAAAAGCAAAGTTAGTACAACTATGCAGTTGTAGTAAAGAAGGCTTTGGAGACAGATTGGGTAAGGTTGCTGCTTGGAGAAACACAACTGCCATTGACTTGAATGCTTGACAGGAACAGATCATGAGGAAATATTCTTGTTGTTGGTTATAAGAGCAGGAGGAGGCAGGGGGAGCACACCTCTTCTGGTATTGCTGAGACCAAAAAATATCTTCCAAAAAACATGTTGTCAGATTCTCTGCTGCAATGTGAATCCGCATATAGACAATCACTTGGTAAGGAACATGTTTCTGGTGTGTACTGATATACAATATAACTACTAGATATATTTTGAAGAAGCTGAAAGATCCAACTGGGTGAATAAAAGTTGGCAAATCAAAGTGATGGGAATACACAAATAAGGAAGCAGTTATTGGCAGTAGTTTTGCTACTCCCAAGTTCTATCAGGCTGTTTTCTTAATATGCATTCCAGAAAAGCTGCCTCTTGAGAAGATTAAAGAGAGAAGCAAAGAGATTTGGTGGATCAGTCGCCTTTCTCCTTCAGAGGAATCAGCTCTGTTATCATGTAGATAACATATCTACTGTTTTCCTTCATTTTCCATTTGTTTAGTCTCTCGAGGGTTCTTTTCTTTATTTTATTTTTCCTCCCGTACAAAAATTAATTTATTTTCCAAATCTGTGCCATCTTGGCAACATCTCTTTAAAGCTGTGCTTGCCACATAGTGTTCCTCTTCAGTGTGGGCTTCAGCTCTTCTCCTTGTGCCTGTTGTCTGCTCCTTTTGGCTGATCTCTCAAGTGCCCACAGAGGACATGGAGGGGTAGTGGTCCTAAACTACATCTTTTCAGGAGGCACATTCCAGAAGAACTGAGATTTGTGGTCTTTCCTTGTGGAAGCTAGAGGGAAAGAAACAGATGATTTTTTTCTTTAATGTGCCTGAAAAAAGAGGAGCTGTGGTTGAATGAAGTGATAATGACACTGGATCTGACCTCAGGGAAGGGCTTTCAGGGTGGTTGAGCGGGAATGCTCTGGTTCTGTCAGAGCACTGCCACTGAGTGAGAAAAACATCTTCCTGTCTACATCATCCTGTAACAAAATTGAGGAAGTTGGATCTCTGCAAATATTCATCAGGATCTATGTATTCCGAATTGGAAGGGACCCACAAGGATTATAGAGTCCAACTCTTAAGTGAATGGCCTGTACAGGGATCAAACCCACAACCTTGGGTGTTATTAGCACCATACTCTAAGTAACTGAGCTGTCTCAGGGTCTACTATGTACTTGCCTGCATCTGGGCAAGAAGAAATGTAAAGTTTATTCATATTTCTTTCTGAAAGTATTAGGAGTTACAGGTTTTATCTCTCTCTTACTTAAAAGGGTGATGCTGAAGCTTAAATACAATTTTAAACCAAAAAGCACCTCTAACCCAGGTGTAAGAGCACTGACATCATCCAACATCCCCTTTTGAAAGCTGTAGACTATTACCTAGTGCAAATCACTGTAGATATACAGAGTTCTCTTTTAAGAAAATAAGTTCTGTTATTGCTGATATGGAGTATAGCTTATTTCGAAATCTCATGGGAGAGATTAATTAATGCAAACAGCAAGATCTCTTGAGACCAAAACACTTTGGATTCAACAAATGTTTAACTACAAGTCATAATAAAAAAGCCTAAAAATTACATTAAGTATCTGCAGCTCTCATCTGAAAAAGAACCATGTTGTATAAGCTGGTAACACATTTAGTTGTATTTTAAGGTTTTCTGTATCAGATTCCTAAAGAAAGTCAGTTATGTTTGAAGTAGTAGCTCTTTTAATTGCATTCTTTATTCTTGCAACTCTAGTTTGTAGTATATAATGTCTTATATAAAATCTCTTTCTTTTTAAGGCACAAGGAAAAGGAAACATAATGGACTACAAAAAGGTTGGTAAATTACATTTATAATTAATTTTTAATATTTTTAAATATTTTCAAGGATATTCTTGACAATTGAAGGAAACGTCCTTCTCAAAGTTAGGCTATAATTTGTGCATGTGTATATGAACGGAGAAAAATGGCTTATGCCATTTCCTGATTTTAAAAAACCAGTAACAGCTGTACTGTAACTATCAAATGTATCTATTTAATGATAGAATTTTAATAATGTGTTTAATAATAGTAATTTAATAATTAGTAGACATTGAATAATCATTTTTGCTGTTATTTCTCCCATTTACTTCCCCAAACTTGGTTTTGAAACCAGGATTCTGATGGCTTTTTCTGTCTTTTTTTCTTAGAGTCATTTGCAGGTTAGATCCTATCACTGGTCTCTCTATTTTGGTAGAGTATGCTGCTAATTTTTTTAAATCTTGCCTTAGTTCCAAGCCATCTATTAAAAACTATACATAGTGTTTCTTCCAGTCCACATTACAACTTTTAGCTAAGTCACCACTATATTTGCTACTCCTCTATGATAAAGACAGACCTGACTAAGTAGCTGGAAGTAGCTGGGACACCCTAAAGCTCTTAGAGAGCTGCAGGAGGTGGCTGAGAAGGTTCTCCTGGTTAAATATTTGAGCACAGCATGGTTGTGGTAGAGACAGATGATGACATTGTGTCCCTAACTCACTGAGCATGAGCCTGACTTAGTTCTGAGTCTTAAGTAAATTGTGAAGGCCCAGTCAGTTATCTCCAGCATCAGTGGGAAATAATATATAAATTATTGAGCCACATGCATGATTGAGAATTGCTTCTTGAACTGGGGCCTGAAGAGTGTTACAGCTCTGACTGATTGCTGCTAGTATGAAAGGCTAACACACAAGTACAGGTCAGTTCATTTGAATTATTCTGTATTAAGGAAAACTGTGATTTGGATTATTAGAAAAACTCTGTCCTTCCTCTTAGAACTTAAAAAGGATTTTAACCTTACCTTGCTACTTAAAATCATTGTGCTTTTAGGTTTTTCTCTACAACAGTCACCGTTGTATCAGTTTTCTTTTTTCTAAATCACCACTGAGAGCACTAAATTTATTCTTCAAATATGTCTGTGGGACACTTCTGTGAATGTTTAAGCCAGGCCACTTGCTTTTTTAAGTAAGTCCAGAAGGGGTTTTCTCCTTTTAATTTTTACAACTGTGGTCCATAAAATGTCATTCCTATACTTTAAAAAACAGAGGAGGGAAGAAAAGCATCTAAAATTGCTTTACTAAATTAAACATTTGTCAGTGTATTCTGTATTTTGACTGAAATTATTTCACTGCTGACCACCACGGTGAGTGCATTCATCCTGCTGCAGTGCAGCCCCATGGTGTAAATGACAGTAGTCCCATGGTTTTGTTTAAATGCCAGAGAATCATCATGAGATGTGTCATGGGACTGTAGACGATTGATTCACTCTCTTGCTCCTGAAATGCAGCAAAGAGTTAAAACCAGAGGGTTGTTGTTTGTAGGTGCTTTTGAGCTGTGTTGGTTTTCCATGAAGATTTGTCTTGTTTGTTTTGGAGCAACCTCTGCCATTAGGTCTTTTTGTTACATATAATGAAAAATCAGTGTCAGTGATTTAATGAAGATGGGGTTTTTTAGATGTGTTAGTAATATTACAAAAGCAACCAAAACCATTCAGATTAAGCAATTTTCTTATTTTTTGTTGGAATTAATGTCTGAATTATCAAAGTGTACATCCAGTATCAACAACCAGTTGCATCTTTATAGTCAGTGGGTATTTTCCCACTTCTTTGGTATGAGAGTCCAGCGCAACTTTTGTTTCACTAAAGCAAACAACCATCACATTTTTTAACATAAATATGAAGTTGATTGCTTGTGTATGTTAAGATGACATTACCAGTCACTATTTGCATTAATGGGATTTAAGGAAGTTATGCTTTTTGGTAAAAAGCCATCACAAGTACCATTGTTTAGATTTAAAAGCTAGTGGGTCTTGTTCAAAAGTTCAGTGTGAAAGACACGGAAAGGCCTAAGGAAGAGGAGTTGGTATCTCTTCTAAAATAACAAAGAGTCTGTACAATCACTCCGTCTCTCAGGATGACTTATAATTTTTTGGCAAAGTGTAGTATAAGAAGTGTGTAACAGCAGTGCTCCTTGTAAGCAGGCCATCTTTCCTCTGCTCTTGGGGGCAACCCTCATCAGATTTGGTCTCATCCTATTTATAGTGTAGCTTTTAGTTTGAAGTAAAAAGAAAATTCTTCTGTTTGTCAGATGAGTAAGGAAAATAAATCCTATTCTGCTTATGGAAGTTTCTGCAAAGTGTCTGGGCCCTTTGAAGATGCATTTATTTACCTTTGTACAGAAGAAATTTCTAAGAAAATATTGGATAAATACTGCCCCAGTTTCAGCTGACATATTCTGCATGTAGCCAACAAAGATTTAAAAAAAAAAAATTAAAATCTTATGACATTACAAAGGGATGCAAATAAGTGATCGTCCAGCCCATTTTGAGAACGTAGAGCACAAGCCTGTGTCCAGCCACAAAAACTCCAAGAGTGGTTGCTGAAACATTCCAAAGTATTTAGAAAAGAATGGAAAAAACCTGACAAAATTAATCTACTACCTGTGAAACACGTCATACCTTTTTGAAGTAGCATTTCAGCAGTCTAAACCACCAGTGCGTATCGAGCATGCTGTTCCCACAAAAGAGAAAATAAATTTAGAAAAGCCAGTGCAAAACACTGCATACACTTACAGCGTTGTTCAGTCACTCAGCCACAGATCAATTTAGATTTGGGGGTTTGGGTTTTCTTTTTATTTCAGCAAATACTGTGCACTGCAAAAATGTAGAATGTTTTAGCTCACTTCAAGATCAGAGAAAATGCATGATGTTTGAAGATTTCATAATGAAAATTTTTTTTAATAGATTTTACAATAAATTAAGCTGGTTTAGGATCATTCTTCTAAAATAACAACATAAAAAAATTCTGAAGTTACTTGTTGATATCTTGCCACTGAAATAATGAATCCTAAGGTTGACTATAGCAAAAAAAAAAAATTAGGAATTTCAGTGTTCTCATTCTCCTATTGCACATAAAGTCTAGTACAGCCAAAATACTCTCCAATCTCTCTGCCCCCGATTTGTTGTTCCCTACAGGTAACACTGTCTGAAAGGAATCTTCTTTCCTTTGGCTAGTGAGGCAGAAATGTCTCAGCAGAGAGAATTTGAAATTAGTTGTCTTTGTACTTGAACACCTGCTTAGTTTTTGACTCCTTTAATTCTTCAGTCTCCAAAATCCAGCAGTTCTTAGCTTGCCCCTTTGACCTCTTGCTGCCCTCAGACCAGCCGTTCTGTCCAACAGCAATCCAGAGCAGTTGGTCTGAAAGGCAAATACTTAACTGCTGTGGTACGGATGAGAAATGATCTCTTTGCCTTTTTGAAACAAATGGACTGGGAAACATAGTACTTTGAACTCTACTTTATTCACAGAATCGTACAATAATTGAAGTCTGAAGGGACCTCTGAGGGTTGTCTGGTCCAGCCCCTCGCTCAAAGCAGAGCCCGTATGGGTTTGCTCAGTTAACTTTTGAGTATCTGCAAGGACAGAGATTGCACAGCCAACCTGAACAGCCTGACCAGTGCTTGACCCCCCTCCTGATGGAAAAGAATTTCCTTGGGTCTAATCAGCATTTCCCATGCTGCAACCTGTGCCCATTACCTCTCATCCCTTCCATGTACACCTCTGAGAAGAGCCCAGTTCTGGCTCCTGGCCCATGAGGTAGTTGGGACAGTAGTAACAGCCTTCTCTTCTTATGGATGAACTAAACAATTCCAGCATTTTCTTGCAGAGCATGTACTGCTCCAGGCCCGTATCACCTGGGTAGCCTCCCACTGCACTTGCTGCAGCACAGCAATGTCTTTCACTTAATGGGAAGCCCAAAATTGGGCACAGCACTCCAGACTCAATCCCAACAGCCCAAACAGGGACTGAATACACTTGCTAACACAGCCCGAGAAGTGGTTTATGATCTTTGCTTTAGGGACACACTACTTCAAGAAAAAAAAGTGTGTCAATAACTATGAAGGAAAAGGAGTGTAGCTGAAACACCAGAAAAATAGCATGTAGTGTGTGTTGGTCATTGATTTAAATCTAGTAGAGTGTGGTCAAGCCTGGTAAGGGGCAGATTCTTTTAGATGTATTTATGTACCCTATGTGAAACTAGCAGTTGGTTTGAGTTTCAACATCACCACTTAATTACTTTTTTATACTTGTAACAAACCTGTAGACTCTAAAAGCTGTGTAGATCCTATCAAGACTGTTAATCCAAATGCAGAATATCCCTTATGAATGTGCCGAAATACTTAATAAAAGACTTCCAAACATTAATGCTTCAAAGTAGGAGCAGAAATATGACTCCACTACAATTTTATGTATTGTATGATCTAGGCAGCACAGGTTTTTTTCATTATCTTAAGACAGTGAAGATTATGATGGTGCTGGGTTTTTTAGTTCTTAGAGTCATAGGACAACATTCAGAGGTAAAACTTTGGGTTCTGAACTTCTTCTGTATGAGGCAAAACTGTCAAGCCTGGTCAGTGTCTGAATATGTTGAGGAAAACAGAAGATGCTGAAGAAAACTGTGCTGATATACTGGGAAGGAGATCACTTCTCATCTGAGTTTAAACTTGGCTGTGCTATTGGAAGACTACTCTATAAGCTGAATTTAAATAACCAATCACCAGTTGGTGATTTTTTGGTGTCTCAGCACCTTTAGAACAAAGTAGGGCTGTAGTGCCCATGGTCTAAACAAAAGCTTACAAATAAGAATGGAGTATTCCAGCATATCTCGCAGTTCAACAGGAGAAAAGTATAGCTAAGCAATCTGTATTTTGACTTGTATTTGGTTTTAATTACTGAATGTCATTCTGAAGAAGGTTGCATGGATTAAATTGTTCCTGCAAGTGGAAATATGCACAAAATGATGCCATGTAAGTAGAGACTAAAAGAACAGACTCGTTTATTTCAAAGAAATTAATGAAGCAGCTTAATTAAAGTTTATAAAGTAACAAATAAAAGCAGTTCATTTTGCTTTTCTGGGTATTTGCTGCAGAAATCACCTGTTCCTATCCAAATGAAGTTTTAAAATAATACTTCTATTCTGGATACATTGTTTTTTTATTCTGTGTTCTTAGTTTCTGAAGTTCATTACATAAAACTATTGAAGGTCAAAATTTGAGAGAGAGTCTGGAAGTGTAACTGTAATGCAAATACAACTAAAGTCTTATATTAGGGGAGTTTTGCATATAGCAGAGCTACTGAAGCTTTTTTTCCTATGGAGTTATTTCCTGTATTTCTCTAACTATCCTACTACCAAATGCCAAATTTGTACTTCCTTTTTTTCTTTTACAACCCCAGCTGAGATACAGGTAGCATGCAGTCTGGTTAGTTCAGACTGTTTTGCCTCTGTGTATGCTCATTTGAGTTGACCAGCCACTTCTGCAAATGGAATATAGAAGAGGTAAGTTTTTGAGGACTGTAAATTGTTCATTTCATACAATAATCTTTAACTGAAAAGCTGAGGAAGGAGCTGCCATAGGAGTGGGTATTTTTTGTTTTGACGTTCCTTGAACTTTGCTTGGAAACATTCAATAGCGAATTAGTCTGATTTTTGTATAGTGGTTCCTCTGCGTGTAGTTTGACACGAGCTGTGCAATTGTGTGGGCTTCAAAGCAGTACACGTGTCTAAGGACTTACTCAAGACAAGCGTGTAAATGGATTGCGTCCTTGTGTTAGGATTCTCCCCCTTTCCAGATTGTGCTGTTTCGACTAAGTCATGGTACATATGTGCCATCATACATAGGCCTAAGCTAAGCTCCTCTGACCTTTGACCAAATTGAAGCCTTTCTAGGAGCTATTTTCTTTGCTGTTTACATCCCAGTATATACTTACATCAGTATTAGAAGGCGTGCTAATCCTTTTTAATAAGCTTTAGCAAATCAGCAGAGTTGGCTTCAAGATGTGTGGGTTCCACTGTCTCACAGGGCTGTGCCTCAAAGAAAGGGAAAGAGACACCTTTTCACACTGCTAGCATGCCTCATCTCACCTATCCCCACCTTTGCTGCAGAGCCGTGAATATGTGGCTGATTCTCATTCATTAGGAGACATGTGGAATTAGCTGTGCAATGCATTTATGCCTCAGGGCAAGTTCCTTTCCAGCACACAGTGCAGGAAGATTCTAACTGAAGTGAGAATAAAATTTTTATGAACTGGGACTTGAACACTCAAATGCTGTAATATGCTTTCAGCTAATTTCATCTTTAAATACAGATAATGAATCCACTCCAGTTTGTATTCAGATAAGAAGTGTTATTCATTCTGTATGAATGCAAGTGTGTATAGAAAGCGGGTAACTTTCCGTTTGGTCATATCTTAGGATTTTTTTATTTTTACATTATTTTAACTGGATAGGTAAGGTCATACTGATGTATTTTTAAACGAAGCAATGAGCTGTGTATTGGTGGAAAACATGACTTATAAAACCTTGTATAGTTTGTTACTGTAGATACCTATGTGCAAGAAAAGCCCCTCTTTTAAAAGCTGGTACAGTGAAGTAAGATGGCTGTGAAAGCCAGGTGGGGCACATTAAAGATCATGAAATGCTTTAATGCTTTTGGAATAATCAAATCCCAGAGATCCACCTGGCCTTGATTCCCAGGCTCTGGCATGAGGCATCAGGCTAGAGTTGGTCTGGGAACACTTGTATTTTAGAGTGGAAAATGTAACCATGTTTTGTGGCAGTCTCGTGATGCCGTTCAAGAAAAAATAATAACTGAAAATAAAAATGCCCTTAATAAGAGTGTTTGCTGTTTAGAGCTTCTGCTAAGTTCAGGTACTGGGAAAAAAAACATGTTTTGTTTGTAATTTTTGTGTTATTTCATAAGAAATTTAACCTAGTTTGCCCTGAAATGTCTGTTATTCCATGAAAATATTTTCTTTCTCATATGGTGCATCACCAAGCCTTTGTCAAATTCCATAGCCTTAGTGAGAAGGAGGAGTTTGCATGGATATAGCTCAGTGTGATAGTTTAACACATTTTGCTGACACAATTTCCTTTTGTCCACTCTGACACATGTAATCACATGGTCTATAAATAGAAACTTGTATTACAAAAGACACGCATTCAACATGTGTCATCCTATGCCGGTTTCCAAAACCAGGTGATAAGATGGGTGTTCATGAAATGCAGGTTTTGACTGCAGAAAACAAGAGTCTGAGTGAGTGGCTGGTTTGCCAGTTCTGAACAAAAGCTCTCAGGCAGTGGCTGAGGTATGAAATTCCCAGATATTTAAAAACTTTAATTTTTTTTTAATTTAAGTGTGCACTTTGGAGAGCCAGTATCTCTCAGGTGAAGAAGTAATGGGTGATGTAGTTTAAATTGTGCACAGTTTAGCTGTAGTTGAGAGCCAAGCAGAGCAGCTGAGAGGATTTAAGAGCTTTGTCTGATGGCTTCGGTTTTGCCTTTACCTCTGAAGGGGCCGTGGAAGCCCTGTATTCCCAGAGATAGTGGTGCACGCTGGCACTGCTACTGCTGAACCACCCCCACCCATTGTGCTTCTGTTTTCTGACAGCTGCAGGAAGCGATCAAGGCTGGAAAAGGTGTGACTTCTGCCATCGACCTCTGCCGCTGCCACGGAAACAGAGCACTGGCAGCCCTGGAGCATTTCCCTCCCTCCGAGGCCAGGGATGCCTTGGCCAACATCGTCTGCGCCGTGACCAGGTTTCCCTGACCTGCTGCTCTGGGGGGAGCGTCTCTCCCTCCACAGGTGGAAGCAGCCTGGCGGAGAGACTGACGATGCCTCACACCTCTGGTCGTCTCATCGTCCCATCCCAACAGAGGAATGCACGCCAGCTGCTGCCGCCACCATCACCACCAGCAAAATTCGGGAGCGGAAAGAAAAAAGGTCACAAAAGGCTTTTGCTTGTCGTGCCAGAAGCGCACTTGAGGCTGCACCAGTAGAAATAATTAATGAGTCCCGTTTTCGTGACCTCAGCAAATGGACAGGAAATAAGTTGGTATTGATTGGGTACCGGTGGGGACGGCGCCAGGGTGGAGGCCGGTGGTTTTCCTGCCAGAGGGGAGGGATGGAAGGAGGGAGGGAAGGAAGGGCGTGAAGATCCAGGTGTCACAAGAAACTCGTTTAAACCTGCCCAGAGAGAGTGAGCTGCCGAAGCCGGGAATTAACATACCCGCTTATCCAAGGAGAAGGGCAGATTGGAGGATTAATGGAGGAAAATCCTCTCTCTGTCTGTGTGCAGTCATGTCTCCTCACACTGTTTTTATGTATTAAAACATAAAATTACCCCGTGCCTAATGATTTTTGTATTTGAGAAACTTGCTGAGAAAATGTATCAAGCATGGTAAGTAGGAGCTTTAAAATATTTAATCAAATATTAATTTGACTCTGTTAAGGGAACTGATTGCCTGGGGTTTATACTGTGCCTGTGTAATATGTTGCTCTGGATCAAAGAATGAGGTTTTCCCAACTCTTCTGAGGGAGGGAATATCCCTCTTTCAGATCCAGAATTTTTTTTCTACAGTCTTACACAAAAGAATTTCCTATGTTTGTGACACTTGTGTTAATTTAAGCCAAATAAATGTTAATTTGTAAGGCTAGACATCATCCTTTGGCATAAAGAAAGCAGGAATGCTTCTCTGTGAATAGTCACCGCACTGAATAAAATGCAGAAAATATTGGAGAAGTTTTGAACCTCAGTGTGTTGAATTTTCAAGTCCAATTACAGACAGCATATAAGGTGTATCAGAAGCCTGCACTTTGAGACCGTCTCTGTTTTGTACATAGGAGATGATTTTTGTGGTTTGCACACATGCAATCTGAGAATGCCGTTGACAAGAAGGCTGAGTTTACATAAATGATCTAGATTGAAACTCAGCTACCTTTCTTCCTTCTGTGGTGTAATTACAGCCCAATCTGGAGACAGCTAGCACAGCAAACAGATTTCATTACATCCCTCACTCAAACACTAAGTGGAGTTATTTCTGTTAAAATCTCTCCTCCCTCCTTTTCTCCCTGCACTCACTCCCCCTGTCACACAGTTTGTTTGTCATAGACCAGAGTGTTGCACTCCACCCAATGCGAAACGTAAATGAAAACTCTATCCTCTAAAAGTATACTGAAAATACATCCTGCATGATGTACTCTGTGTACATTCTGCCCACACTATACCATAATATTTTATGTATAATAAGCAACATTGAGTCGCAACCTCTGTTTGGGAGCAACATCCAGAAATCAGGACTCACTTTGTTCTGGAGAATGGCTTCAACACCAGACCCCTTCTTGCTTACACTTCCTCTTTTACCTGCCCTCTCTTACCTTCATTTTCTCTCATCCCAAGACTCTGGCACTTCTCCATGAGTTGGTGTTGTTGCCACAGCAGGAAGACTGGAGACAGAAGAGAAGCACTGAGAAGCGTGGATTATCCCAGGCAGTTACCTGTGAAGTTCCCTGAAGTTCTGCTAACATAAAACATGTTTTAAATAAATACCTAAATTCAGAGTATTATTTCAGTTTTCTTTGTCTCTGGTTTTTTACATATTATGTATAGTAAGAGCCATACATCATCATCTTGTCTTTGTCTTACATCTGTGTTAATTGGTTCATAATGATTCAGGGCTACAAGAAGCTTGGCTATGCTGGAGACATTCTGAGTCACCTCAACTCAGTTTTGTGAAAGAAACATCAAACATACTGCAAACCCATGTACACCTGGTTTATTTTTTCATGAAAGTACAAGTTTTTATTTGTAGTTGTTACCAATAAAGGAGAATAATAAAAAATTAATTACTTTCTTTTTTTTTGTATTTTTATCACCAGAATGTTCTGATTGCTCTTATATGATTCAACCTTAAAGACAAAAGAATGTGAATTATCTCCTATCAATGTTATTAATTAATTTTATAATTAAGATATTTATCTGTAATTCTTCAGGAATTTTTGTTGTCTTGTTTCTTCCAGGTAAACTACAAGCAAACTATTATAGCCATCTGTCAAACTGAGTGAATTAGTTATTGCTGTGTACTAATATACTCCTCACACCTCAATGGTGTAATTTTGGGGCTGTTCTGGTCTTATTTTTGTCCCTTGATTCCTTTTCCCCACCAACCTCTAAAAGGCAGTCAGGGAGAGGGAGACCTGTGGTCTGAGGGGCAGCTGAGGAAGGCATTCACACCATTTACTTCAGTCAACCAGTTACTCAAGCAGACATACTTGTTGGCTGCTTCTCTGAATTTATCCCAGGTATGGAATTGCTGGACCATTCCACTGACACACAAAATACAGGACAAGGTCCCAACTGCTTTTTAGACCAGACTAAATTAAAAACTAGCCCAATGTACTGGGTCTTACTGTGATGAATTTAATTTTCTTTGTAGCATCCTCTACAGTGCATGTTTTGGATATGTAGCTCAAACAGCATTGCCGGCCTGCTGATGCTTTAGCTATTGCTCAGCAGTGGTTGCACTGGCTTTTTCTGCTTCTCACTCTGACACCCACTGAGGGGGTTGGTCGTGGGCCAGGGGCAGGGAGGGGGCACAGCTGGGACAGCTGACCTCGACTGACCTCTGAGGTAGTGTGCACCGTATAAGATCATGCTCAGCAATAAAAACTGAGGATGGGGTGTTTGGGATGTTCCAGGGGGTCTGTTGCCTGGAGCTGTTGGCACATCAGTCAACTCGTGGTGATTGCTTTGTATCACTTGTTTTTTGTTGTTTTGCTTTCATTTTTTTCCCTTTTATCTGTTAAACTGTCTTTAATTCAACCTACAAATTTTCTAACTGTTGCCCTGCTCTGGATATGAGTCTGGAGACACTTCTCCATCCGTTAATGGTTATGGATTTTCAGAAGTATCTATTAAAAATGTGTCTTTTATTGGTGGCATCAATTTCAGCTTCCCACAATATTTTTGACCTTCAGGAAGGTCAAAAGCTACCTTTATTAGCTTCAAACTGCTCAAGGAACAGAAGTAGTTCAGTACAAAGCTCACTCTCTTCTGGTCTGAGAGTCTCCTTGCCCTCACTCATGCTCGCTGAGCTGAAGCACTGGCAAATACCAAAGGGAAACAGTCTACTAAAAGTGCCTTATGTTATTAAAAGCATCTCTTTTTAGTCTCCAGGTCCCCTTACCTGCTTTTAAACACTCTTTGAATGGTTTTGCACATTCAGGATTTTAGTAAATGAGCAAGTCACATTCTAACCTCCATCTTCCCTCAGTTGGAAGGAGAGGAATGCTGCTCGCTGTTCCTCTGTGCTGGGCACAGAGGGTGGGATGTGCCAAATCTTAACTTGGTTAGTTGTGCCTAACACCAGATGTGCTTCATCTCATCCCAGAAAATACCTCTTTAAGGGACTTCATCCATCCTTTCACTACACAGAACTAAAACGTATAGTGCACTCCACTGTGGGGGGCAGCTGTGAGATGCTTACCTGCCAGCCACCACAGTCCTTTTTGGTACCCAGGATGGAACACAAAGGGCTCAAGATAATGACGTTTGACTGGAATGTGCTAGAGGGAATTTAATGTACCTGTTTAGCTATTGCTGGTCATGATGTTGACTTACTCATTCTCAATGCAAGTTTATTTGTTTCCTTACCCACTCCTTGTCATGCTCAAGAGTGAGCTTGACAATTCGAGAGCTTGTTGAAGACTGGTTTTGTCCTCTGCAGTTTGCTATGCTGTGCGGCACTCGGTTCTGTTTTGCCTTGGATTAAACTGATAAAAGCACTGGCCCTGAGCCTAATCTGATATTTGGGCTCTGCATTGCTGCTGTCCCAGTACTTTGGGAACCATCTCGTGGAGATAATTAACAATTACACCTTTTCTCTCTTTTCATCTGAGAGACAGTTTGTGGAGGAAACAAAGAATGGCACCCTCCCCTTCCCCTCCTACAGGATAGTTGTTTTCCACCTTGTTGCAATGACTCTCCAGTATTTTGAACACCTCTGGGTATTTAGAATGCTCACATCAGTGTGTCTCAAGAATCTGTATCCAGCTTTTCGTAGGATTAACTGAATATTTAGGAGTGTTCTGAGGCCATGTGGTTGTGGGTGGCAAGGTATCTAGATCAGTTTTTCTCTCTGACAATATAGGACTTGACCCCCAAACAAGTGCAGGATCCTGATAACATGACAGAACATTTGAAAAAAGGACGCCCTGGCTAGCTAAAGAGACACAACTTCTCACACTGTGCTGGGCCTGGCCTAAGCCTGCCAAGAACTGTTCAGCACCCTTAGAGGGGAGAGGCGGTCTCTGTGTCTGAAGACATACAAACAGGCACCATGGCTAAGCCAGAGACCCAACTCTCAACTGTATCAGTTGCCCCTGTAGTCAAAAAGAAACAATGGAGGTAGAAGTCAGTCAGGAAGGAAGCTTCTCCCAAGAGGGAGCAGGAGGAGGATTGGAGAGGCAGGCAGCTGTGCAGCAGAACAGTCACAGCAACAGGAGGAAAAGGAGAAATCATGAACAAGCCAGAAATCACCAGCTCCTTATCCCTGAGTTAGCTTCAAGATACACACAAAGATTATAGCCATCAGCCTGGTGAGCTAATAACCAGCTGACTGCTGCAATGCTGGGATACTGTAGCCAACAGTCAGGAATTGGAGAGCAAGGAGGCCCAACTGCTGGGATCTCTCACAAAGGATTGTGGCATCAACAAAGGGATTGGACAAGGAGCAAAGCAGCCTCTGGAGACAGCTGCTGTTGAGCTCCAAGGAAAAGTATCCTCTCGAGAAAGACCTTATAAACTCTTGAGGCAAGAGTGGACAACTACTGAGTGGTTTCCAGTGTCTGAGGGAATTAGTGGCAGAGGTGATCTGCGGCAGCCTGAACAACAACCAGGCATCAAAAGACCCAGATGAAGTCCCGTGCCTATGGTCCATACAGTGGAAGTTTGTATGGAGCACACAGTCAATCATATGCCAGCACCCTGGTGCTAATGACTTGGCCAGACATCTCTCTTCCACCCCAACCCTGCAGGTCTGTGTCTCAGCTGGGGAGAGACTGTCCCAACAGTTCCAGCTATTCAAAGATAGTATGTCTTCCTCCTTGTCTGTGCCAGCCATCATCTAGGCTAACAGGTGAGCTTTCTCTGCTCAAGGGGAAGGCTACCATGTGCACATTTATGTGCCACCCTCTGGTTCTGTCTGCATGACCATGAGAACATGAGGAATTGGGATGCCTCAAACATGGAAGCTGGGGTATGTGAAATGCAAGGAATAATGGTGACCAAAAAGTACTCATACAGGAAAATTACCACTCCGGTTGCTCTTGGGCAATTCCCCAGACAGTGTAGAAGGACTGATACTCCCCCTGACACGAATGAGGAACTTCTGGTTTGCAGTTAGAAGAATCAGGTAATGAAAACACTGTCCAGGAATAGAGGTGCCCTGCCTCTGGCCAGGTGAAGGGAAGGGATTACCAGGTTTATTGGACTGCATGGATTTGATGGCCTGGCTATGCTTCTCTTAATGTAACCCTGCATGTGCCTTGTCTTATTTGCAATAAAGAGTGCAGAGGTGGCCCGTATTTGACTTACTGTCAGACTTGATAGAAGTTGCTAAAAGTTTGAAAAACCCTTTTTGGTCTAATGGAAACATTAGGGAAATATTCTCTGGAGCTGCTGGGGAGTGCTTCTTGCCCCAAGCGGTGTTAAATATGCCAGACCACCGTCCTCAGGGGTAAACCTCCTGGTG